TCTACTAAAAAACACAAAAATTAGCTGGGCATAGTGGTGTGCGCCTGTAGTCCCAGCTACTTGGGAGGCTGAGGCAGGAGAATTGCTTGAACCCAGGAGGCGGAGGTTGCAATGAGCGGAGATTGCGCCACTGCACTCCAGCATGGCACCTGGCAACAGAGCGAGACTCTGTCTCAAAAAAAAAAAAAAAAATTGTTTCTCCATGGGGTTCTTTAAACTACTGCATTCTCTGAGCTTAGCAATGGCTTGGCACATAATAATGTTTATTGGATACTTACTGAGTGATAAATTATCAAGGTGTTTTTTTGTTTGTTTGTTTGTTTTGAGACAGAGTCTTACTCTTGTCACCCTTGCTGGAGTGCAATGGCACGATCTTGGTTCACTGCAACCTCTCCCTCCTGGGTTCAAGTGATTCTCCTGCCTCAGCCTCCCAAGTAGCTGGGATTACAGGTGCCCTCCACCCGGCTAATTTTTGTATTTTTAGTAGAGACAGGGTTTCACCATGTTGTCAAGGTATTTTTATCCACTCCAGTCTTCCTCTCAGACTGTTAACACTCTTTGAGGTCAGATTTTAGATCTAGCTCACCTCTGGGTCTTCAGCTCCTGGCACAGGGTTTGGCACTGAGGGACATGAGGAAATGTTTGAATTGAAGGAAATGGGGAAGGGTTGGCCCACCTTCAGCCAGGAGCTGATGGGATCAGGATTCCAGTGCATTGCTGAATATCAAGAAACAGACTCAAAGGCAGCGGGCATTGGGTTGTGAGCTGCAGAGGGATTCCAGCATTGCTGACTGGGCAAGGAGTGGCTGGCTGTTGTGGTTGTCTCCTGAAGGATAGGTAGCATTTCACCCCTCCAAGAAGGAGCTCCAGGGCTCAGCAGAGAGAGAGCAAGCTGTCAGGGGGACAGACGTGGGCTTAAATTAACCTGACTCCACCACTCATGCTGTGTGACTTGGGGCAGGTGACTTCACCTTTTTGAGGCTCAATTTGTTAGTAAAATGAGGATAATAACAGACCTTAACTCCTCAGACTGTCATGAAGACTTAGAAATAATGTATTGGTTCAAATAACACAGAGTAGGCTGTGTGTAATCTCACACCTGTAATCTTAGCACTTTGGGAGGCCAAGGTGGATGGATGGCTTTGAGCCCAGGAGTTCCGAGACCAGCCTGGGCAACATGGCAAAACCATGTCTCTACTAAAAATAGAAAACTACCTCTATGTGTTGGTGCATGGCTGTGATCCCAGCTACCTGGGAGGCTAAGATGGAAGGATGGCTTGAGCCTGGGAGGCAGAGGTTGCAGTGAGCCAAGATCGTGCCACTGATAATGAAGACAAAGAAGAAGAGGAAGAAATATTTTAAGTCCCTGAATACTGGATACTCCTAAACAGAACTTGACTTTGACATAGGGTGACTGGAGAAGCAAAAAGGGCACTTTGGGTCTAGCGGGCAAAGCAGGTGTGTAAACAGGAAATAGGCTTGAGGCAGGGTGTGGTGGCTCATGCCTGTAATCCCAGCACTTTGGGAGGGCAAGTTGGGCAGATCACTTGAGCTCAGGAGTTCGAGACCTGTTTGGCCAACATGGTGAAACCCCGTCTCTCTTAAAAATACAAAAATTAGCTTGGCGTGGTGGCGCATACCTGTAATCCCAGCTACTCTGAAGCCTGGCACATGAGACTTGCTTGAACCCAGGAAGTAGAGGTTGCAGTGAGCCGAGATCCTGCCATTGCACTCCAGCCTGGGTGACAGAGAGACTATCTCACACACACACAAAAAAAGCCTTTTAAAAGGCCTTTAAAAACAAAGCTTAATTGAAATTTTTTTAAAGGGGGAAATAGGCTTGAGCCCAGAAGCCAGGAAAGTGGGCAAGTGTGGCAAGCAGTGTCTAGGGTGGGCCAGGGCTGAGGCTGGGCATGGTTTGAGGGTATCTGAGGCCCACTCGGGGACCGGATGACCCTGCAGCAGGAGCAGACACAACCCTTTGTCTATGTGTTCGTTTGTCACCCATATCATCCTGTTTTCCTGCCTGTTTGGGTCCCTAAGCTAGCTTTCTCTAACTCCCCGAGAGGCTGCCCCCGGCCTGGGTGCTACTGAAGCCCCGTGTGCTTAGATGCAGCAAAGAGGCTGGGCAGAGGAAGCTGGGTGTCAATGAGTCTTGGGCCCAAGTTCATCTCCTGGCCCAGCCATGGACTCAGAGTGTGGCCCGAGGCTTGGTCTCCCTGTGTCCTGCCAGGCTGGGGGTCTGAGGGGCCTCTCTGAGCTCCCACATGCCACAGCCTTACAGATGAAGGCAGTGCCTATGGGGAAAGAACCCTTGGGTCCCCTCACAGAGCAGGGATGATGCTGGGGGCTGAGTAGAGAGATCACCAAAGCAGCAGGCATTTGGAGAGAGGTTGGGGAACTGAGCCACAGAGAGGGTCCCCAGGGGTGGCCAAGAGGAAGAGGCTATGGCTGGGGGGCCCTGAGGGGTGAAGAATCTTGCTCTGTTGTCCCCGGTGGGCTGACTGCTCCCCCCAACCACTCCCCGCCGGGCCCCCGGGGGACCTCGCTCTAATAATGTATTTGATCGACTCGCCGGCCGCGTACAAGCGATTATTGTCTTGTCGGGAGTCAAACGTATCGATCCGGCGAGAAATATGAGCGGAGCAATGGGGCCCGCGTGTCAGTTACCAGCCCCGCTGGCCCTGGGGAGCCCCCTACGTCTCCTTTAATTACCGTTCAGCCCTGAGCCCAGCCTGGCCTCCCCTGTGCCGCCTCCCTCCCAGCTTCCTGCACCTCAAGTGGCCCCCACTGCTCCCCAGCTCCCATACCCTACCTGCCTTGCTCAGCATGACTCGAGGCCTCTTCTGTGGCAATGAGGCCACCATCTCCCACTGCCTGAACCCGCCCATTCTGGCTGCCAGGCTGTACCCACCCAGTGTGCTCCAAACTCTGCCCCTCTATCCTCTCTTGGGCAGGCCCATCCTCTTTCAAGATCCCCTCACCAGGCCCAGCTCTGGTCTGAGGCACTAAGAATGGAACTAGCATGGGAGGCAAGAAGGATGGGGTGGTTTCATCTTTCAGGGAATGTATACAGCCTTCCCCAGCTCCAGGACTGAACTGCAGACCTGGCTGCACTGGAAGTGGGTGGTCCTTCTCTGCTGGCTCACCCTAAGGGGCTGGAATGGGGTCACGTCCAAAAGCATGCTCCTGACGTGGATGATGCTGAATCTGTCCAGGGTGGAGCATAGGGGTGGCTGGTGAGGTGTTGCTCCCCCAGTGTCCTATGAGCCCCATTTCCAACCTCCCCCAAAACAAATCCTAATTGAAAACAAAGCTTACTGTGGAAATACAGTTTTAAGACAAGGCTCCAGGACCCACCGCCACCAGGCTGCTGTTGGGAAGGCCCTCATGTATAGCAATCCTGTGGCCAGTTGCTGTGTGGTCTGTGGATCTCCTCTGTGAAATGGCCTTTTACAATATGGGATGTTGTGGAGTGTAGATGCCTGGAAACCTTCCCCTCTCATGTGCAGATATGAGAACTGCTGGTCCTTCCTGTTGTGCCCACCTGCCTGCCTGGGTGTGTCTGGGTGCACAGGGCATGTGTGCTGTCAGGGGAGGGCACTCCTGTAGTTCTGCCTGTGGTATGCCCTTTTTGAGTGTGCCTGTGTGTGAGTGTGGGTGTGAGTGGCCAGGAAGCGTGCCTGAACACATATGTGTAGAAATGCCTTTGTGCCTTGGGTCCATGTGAGGAAGTAGAGGGGGTATCAGTATATGGGAGTAACCATCGTCAGCAGGGAGGGCAGGTGTTGAGGCCTGTGCACAAAGATGTGTTCATGCATGTCTGTGTGTGCACACGTGTGTGTGATGTGCTGGGGTCCATGTGTAGAAATGTGTGTGTAGGGGTGAGTTCAGGCATCTGTGCCTGCACCTGTGGTTTGGGGGGCACTCCAGGCATGGGATGCAGCGTGTCCTGCTGGGCCCAGGTAGGCAGATGAGGTGACTGGAGACGCCAGGCAGCCCAGCAGCCTCGGACCCCGGGTACCAAGAAGAGGAAGAGGGCAGCGGACTCGGGCGCGCCTTTGTCTGAGCTGCGGTGCGCTGGGAGTCCTGCGCCTTTGTGTGACCCTGGCAGGTGTGCGCGTGGGGGCGTTGGGGGGAGGGTTGGGAAGGGGAGCAGAGGGAGGGGCTCCCTCCTCCGCAGCCGGCCCCGCCCTCCGGCCCATTGGCTGGGCGCTGCCGCCCTCTGGTGGGCACGAAGGCACTGAACTGGGAGCGACGCAGCGCGAAGAGCCAGCTGGCAGCCAGCAGACCTGGTGCTCCCCTCCGCCGGAGCCGCCTCGGGCGCCCGCTACAGGCCGGCGACTTCTTGTAGCTCCAGGCCAAAGCTCCGACCCACCGTCGCCACTGCCACTGCCCACGGGCACCACTTCCTCCCAATGGTGACACCCAACAGCTCACCTGCAGATAGGCACAGAACTTGCTTGTTCTTCCCTGCCGCGGCGGGCTTTTAAGCTTCAACGCTTCGTGGCTCTGGGCCCTGGAGAAAGCTACTGCTCACCTCTCAGAACCTCAGTGTTTTCATCTGTAAAATGAGGCAAATAATAGTGACCACCACATTCGAGATGGCACCTGTCAAGAGTGAGGCACAGGGTCAGGCATCGGCAAATTCCTTTCTCCAATAAGCTGCAGGCTAGTGTTTTATCGTTGTTACTGTTGTGGGCCCACCTTCTCTCCCAGATCCCCTTGCCCTGTTCCAGATTTGTTTACCTCCATGGGGGCAGTAGAAGTGGGGGGGAGGGGGAGGCAACTGTTGCAGGCACCTCCTGGATCACAGTGGTAGGAGTGGGCTCTTCTAGCCTGCTTATCCTCTGCCCCACTAGCCCCCACACCCCCAACACACACACATGATTTGGGGTGGGCCAGGCTGCCAGGGCGGGTCTGTGGGGCAGGGTATTTTCCCTTCTGAAGGGGGCGGACCGGCCCTGTGGTTTCCTCCCTGAGTGACTTCCGGCAGGGAGGGCTCAGCCCCCAGAGAGGGTGGGGAGATGACACAGTTGTTCCCCCAGCCCTGGCGGGGCGGGCAGCATGGTTCACTCCAGCATGGGGGCTCCAGGTAAGGGGGCTGGTGCCTGTGCCACTGCTCAGAGGACAGGCAGCACATTTAGTTTTGCTCTGCGGGCCCTCCCTGCCCCTCCTCCTCAGCTGTCTCCATTGTCCTTCTCCTCTGTACTCTAGCAACTCCCTCTCTCCCATGCCGGGTACCCCCCAACCCCCACAGCTCCTCTTTGCCCTCCCCTTTCACATCAGGCACTGGAACTTCCAACCTCTTCTCCTCTACTGCCCTGTTCCAGGGGGTCTGGGGACAGGAGGGAGGGAGCTGGGTGTTAAAAGCCAAACCTCATGTGGAGAACCAGTGGGGTTGGTGACAAGGGTGATCCTTGGATAAGGACTGCAAAGGGGTTGGAACGCTAAGTTGCTGGACTTGGAGGGTGTCATACCCTATTGAGTGGGTGTGTGCACATCTGGTACAGGGCTGTGTGCGCGTGTACAGTAGTTCTGAGTGCTCTGAGTGGGACTGCTGTGTGTTTGTGAGTGTAGGGGGCTGTTGTGTTTGCATTGTGGGGTAGCCTTGCTGATGATCCCCTGGCTCACTTCTTCACTTTATTCACCTCAGATGTCACCTCCTCAGGGTGGCCTTCCCTGACCTCCCCATCTAAACAGGCACTGATCCTGTCACTCTCAGTCCCCTCACCCTGCTTTATCTTTTCCCCTTACCCTGCTTTATCTTTTCTTCAGGGCACTTATCACTGCTAGGAATTTCATTATGTGTTTGTTTGTGTGCTTATTAAATGCCTCCTCCACCAAATGTCAATTGATTGAGTGAACATTGCGCGCCAGGCACCGTCTAAGGTGATTTATAGCTGTTGGCTCATTTAGTAGAATGTGTACATGTCTGTCTGGTGATGGCTATCACTCAGCAGTGTTGATGGGAGCCTTAAATGAGATAATATATGTACCATGCTTAGCACAGTGCCTGGAACATGGCAGGTACTCAGCCCTTTGTGCCTGTTTCATTTGTGGCTGTGCAGGCATGACCATGGGCACGAGTCTCCGTTTGGTGGTGTGTGCTGTCCCATATGCACCATTGTGTGCGGGCATCCCTGTGTCCTCCACCGACATGTATCTGTTGAGGAGTTCTGTGCTAGGTGTTTGAAATACAGTGGAAAGGGCACTTAGGTCTGTCCTCCTGGAGCTCCCAGTTTGTTGGAGAAGACAGACCTGTCACCAATGACAGCACAGATGGGTCAGGGCTGGGATAGGGGAGGCCCAGGCAGAGGGGTCAGGGCCAGGGTCCATACCTGTGGACTAGGTTCAGAGGTCAACCCTGGCCGTCTTCCAGGATGAGGTGACTCTGGGTATGTGTGTGTGAGTACGTGTGAGCATGTGGATGTCTGGGTGTGTACCTCTGGCTGGACTGATGTAACTTAGTGTGAGAACGTGTGTAAGTACATGTGTGCATACACATATCTGAGTCTGTAAGTGACTGGATCTAGTATGTGGGGGTGTGTGTCTGTGTTCAACTCTGGGTGTGTGAGTTTGTGTACTTCTGTGTGTGTCTGGCTGGCTGTGTGTCACTCACTGTGAGAGTGTGTGTAAATGCATGTGTGTACACATGTCTGTGTGTGTGTTTTGCATATATGCCCATGGCATCATGTCTGGGCATGTGTCTTATCTGCAAATGTGTTCACATTCCTGTCTGGAATCTGCACATCTGTTTCTTGTGGTGTGTTGGCCGGGGCCTTGCCTGCCTGTGGCTGTGGGGTGTGTACTGTTGGCAGCTCTTGCCTGCTGTCAGTGCAGCTGTGGAGCCACCTCTCTTGTTGTGTCTGCTGCCTGTATCTCCATCCGTCCCTCCTGACAGCTCAGAAGTGTTCACTCCCTTGAGGCCACCCAGGGACAGCTGTGGGGTAGGGAGGGGTGAGGTGCTGCTTCTGGGGAGGATGGAGACTCAGCCAGCTGGACCCACAGAGGTTCCCAGCAGCACCAACCTGCCCACAGGGGCTCCTAGGCTGTAGCCTTGATTGAGGCAGGCTGCGGAGGCAGGGGACCCAGGGGACAGGACAAGTGGGGCCAAGAGGGGTGAGGGGCAGTCCTCGGGTCCTCTATATTTAGCCCCATTTTCGGTAAGTGCTAACGAGAAGCTGGCCTAAGTCTGCTAAAACTGGCGGGGGGGTGGAAATGCAGAGGAGAAGTGAAAGTCCGGGGAGGGAGGAGTGGGAGGGTGGAGAGGACCCAGAGTCCCAGGCCTGGGGCAGTCCGGCAAGCGAGTGTGAGCTCAGGGCTGGGTAGCGCCTGGGGAGGGGCCTAACCTGAGGAAGGTGGGATTCAACTGGCAACATGGCTCCAAGGGGCCTGGTAGGGCTTTGCATTGCTTTTCTCTTCCGGTTTCCTTAAAAAATTATACATTACCTAGATGAGGGTGGGAATGGCTGTAAATAACCAACCAATTTTTTTGTGTGTGAGTAAGGCTTTGAGAGGAGCTTCTGAAGGTGCCAGGGGATGGAGCACATTAGAATCACCTGGAGGTGTCTGAGCACGGTGGTTCATGCCTGTATTCCCAGCACTCTGGGAGTCCAAGGTGGGTGGATCACTTGAGGTCAGGAGTTTGAGACCAGCCTGGCTAACATGGCAAAACCCTGTCTCTACTAAAAATACAAAAATTAGCTAGGCGTAGTGGCGCACTCCTGTGATTACAGCTACTCGGAGGCTGAGGCAGGAGAATTACTTGAATCCAGGAGGCAGAGGTTGCAGTGAGCCAAAATCACGCCATTGCACTCCAGCCTGGGTGGTGGGTGATAGAGTGAGACTCCGTCCCCCCAAAAAGAAAAAAAAGAATCACCTGGAGGGGCTTTTAAATATCTGGATGCCCAGTTCATACCCTGTACCATTGAAATTAGAGAGTCTAGGGTCGGGACGGGCATCAGTATTTCTTTAGAGTTGAGTGACAGTCAATGGGCATCCCTGCCTGGGCTGAGGCTGAGGCTGAGCCATTTAACAGACCCTCCAAGTCCATGGTTGCTAGTGCTCTGGAATCCCTGTTAAGGTGTCATTTGGCTTTTAGTCCACAGTGGAAATGGAACTCCCTGTTCATTCCTGGTGGAAATGATCTAACCCTTCTCTCAGATTGAGCTCTGATAGGGGAGGTGGAAAGAAAAGGGGCAAAGGGCAACAGTTGGCCATTTTGCTGTGGCCCAACCAGGTGTGGGGCAGGGAGTATGCAGGGATATGTAAGAGTGGTCGGGAGAATTTAGGGAGAATAAGGGTAAGAGAATGGAGAAAGTTTTCCCTCAAACCACTCTTGTCTTTCCAGCCACTGTCCCTGCAGAGGAAATCTTACCTTAAAGATTTAAGTTAAGATTTCTTGGGGATGTTAAAGTGAGTGACAGTAGAGATAGTGGTTTGTTTTAGACAGGACTGGGCCCTGGTTAGTTAGGCGATTCTTGAATGCATTCATTCATTCATTCATTCATTCCAAAGACATACTCCTATGCCTGTGCAGCAATGACTCCAGCCTGGGCTTGAGGTGCCCACAGTTGGGGTGGAGGTCTCTGCCCAAGATGGTCAGGATATGATGGGGAACAGTACAGGGGCAGGGAAGCCCAGAAGAGAGAGACACTGGCCATCTGGGGAACCAGGGAGTACTTCACAGAGGTGACATATGAGCTGAATATTAAAGAGGAGCAAGAGTTTGCTAGTAGAGAAGGAAAGGGTCACCCAGGTGGGAGAGGAGCAGAGGCAAAGGCCTGGGGGAGGGAGATCAGGGCCTTGGGGCCACTGCCATCCACTGACCCACATGTCTTCTGCTAGGCAGTGTTTGGGAACCTGAGATCAGACCTGCTCTTGAAAAATTCCCAGTCCGATAGGGGAGACATACTGGGGCCCAGGTAGCTACAGTTGCCTCATTAAGACAGTGACAAGGGACTGTGTTCGCGCTCTCCCCTGGTCTCTTAACTTAAAAAAAAGAAAAAAAAAAAAAAAAAGAGTGACGAGGGAAGGTGCTAGGGTAGGGGGAGCTGGAGAGAGACCTGGCTGGGAGCTGGGGGGCATCAAGTGGTGGTTTCATAGAAAACAGAGCTTATGGCTGGGCGTAGTGGCTCACACCTGTATCCCAGCACTTTGGGAGGCTGAAGCAGGCAGATCACAAGTTAGGAGATTGAGACATCCTGGCTAACACAGTGAAACTCTATGTCTACTAAAACTACAAAAAAGTAGCCAGACGTGGTGGCACACACCTGTAATCCCAGCTACTCAGGAGGCTGAGGCAGGAGAATTGGTTGAACCTGAGAGGAGGAGATTGCAGTGAGCCAAGATTGCACCACTGCACTCCAGCCTGGGAGACAGAGTAAGTCTCTGTATCAAAAAAAAAAAAAAAAAAAAAAAAAAAGAAAAGAAAGAAAGAAAACAGAGCTTATGCTGGGTCCTGAAGGATGTGTAGGGGGTCACCAGGTGGACAGATTGGGGAACAATGTTCCAGGCAGAGGGAACAGTCCGTGCCAAACCCTCAGGAAATGTTTTTTGTTGTTGTTGTTTTTAATTTTTTTTTTTTTTTTGAGACGGAGTTTCACTCTTGTTACCCAGGCTGGAGTGCAATGGTGCGATCTCGGCTCACCGCAACCTCCGCCTCCTGGGTTCAGGCAATTCTCCTGCCTCAGCCTCCTGAGTAGCTGGGATTACAGGCACGCGCCACCATGCCCAGCTAATTTTTTTGTATTTTTAGTAGAGACGGGGTTTCACCATGTTGACCAGGATGGTCTCCATCTCTTGACCTCGTGATCCACCCACCTCGGCCTCCCAAAGTGCTGGGATTACAGGCTTGAGCCACCGTGCCCGGCCAGGAAATGTTTTAAATGTCAGAGTGCAGGTATGATGGCTTACGCCTGTAATCCCAGAACTTTGGGAGGCCAAGGCAAGAGAATCATTTGAGCTCAGGAGTTTGAGACCAGCCTGGACAACATAAGGAGACCCCGTCTCTACAAAAAAAAAATTTTTTTTTTTAATTAGCTGGATATGGCGGTACACACTTGTAGTCCCAGCTACTTAGGAGGCTGGAGCAGGAGGATACCTTGAACTCAGGAGGTCGAGGCTGCAGTGAGTCATGATTGTGCCACTGTACTCCAGCCTGGCCCACAGAGCAAGACTCTGTCCCAAAATATAAATATAATAAAATAAATAGCAGAGAGACAGTAGGACAGGGGTGGGAAGTAGTAGGAGACAGAGACTGCTGCAGAGAGGGATATTCAGCAGTGACAATCCATTCTGGGTTAGTGATGCTAGGAACCCAGTGATTAGTCAGACCAGGCCTGTCCCCTTGGTCTTGTGGGAAAGGAACCTGGGCACAGCTGGGGGCTCAGGGATGGGACAGCAGGAAGGCAGGGGCTTTGAGATGCTGTCCTAGTTTGCTAGGGCTTCCACAGAGAAGTACCACAGACTAGGTAGCTGAAATAAGAGAAATTCATTCCCACAATTATGGAGGCTGGAAGTTGGAGATGAGGATGCCAGCAGGGTTGACCTTTTCCAAGGCCTCTCTCCTTGGTTTGTCAGCTGGTCTTCTCCTGGGTCTTCATATGGTCTTCCCTCTGTTCCCATCTGTGACCTAATTCCACTTCTTACAAGGATATCAGTCAGATTGCAGTAGGGTCCACCCTAATTACCTTAATTTATCTTAATTCAGTATTTAAAGACCATATCTCCAAACACAATTACATTCTGAGGGACCAGGAGTTAGGACTTCAGTGTATGAATTTTGGGAGATGCAACTTGGCCCATAGCAGAGGCTAAGGATGAGTGTGGACTTTCTGGGCTGGCAGTGGGATCCAAGCCTGCCTTGATCTGTGGGTGGGAGAGGGATGTCCAGCTAGGTGGGGAGTGTAGAACCTACAGTCTGCTGTCTGTCAAGCAGAACCCCCAAGCAGGGGGAGATGCTCAACGTGGTTGAAGAACAGTGTGCATTAGCTGCAAGAGAAGAGCAGTCGAAGGTGGTGGGCCAGCCCCTGGAGGCCAGGCCCAGTAGCCTGGATGTTTCTCCAGGAGGTAGAGAGGAGTCAGGAAAGGATTGCCTTTAGGCAATGTGGAGCTTGGCTAGAGGGAAGGAGGCCAGAGGAGGCTGGGGTTCCAGTTTAGGGATGCTAGGAGGGGTGGGATTTAGGACCAGGTTAGACTTAGTGGTTGCCTGAAGTAGGGCTAAGGTCTGGATCAATTAGTTAGGATCAGGCAGGATTCCTGCCTTTACTGCTCCAGAGTCAGGACAGCCTTGCTTCCCAGCTCCCTTCTTGTCCTTCTTATCTCTTGTATCAGCAGCCATTTAATGCCCTATCCCCAGGGCCAAGACATAGGACCTGAGCTCTGGTAGTGTCCTGGGCACCCACTCCTCACCCTCAGCAGTCTGTATCTTTTTTTTGAGGCAGAGTCTGGCTCTGTCATCCAAGCTGGAGTGCAGTGGTGCAATCATGGCTCACTGCAGCCTCAACCTCCTGGGCTCATGTGATCCTTTCAACTCAGCCTCCTGAGTAGCTGGGACTACAGGTGCACACCACTATGCCCAGCTAACTTTTTTTATTTTTTGGAGAGATGGGGATTTCACTGTGTTGCCCAGGCTGGTTCAAAGTCCTGGCCTCAAATGATCCACCTGCCTTGGTGCAGTGTGCATCTTAATGGGACTGTGTGCTGGCTTTTTGTTTTTTAGCTTTTAAATGTTTTCTTGCTTGTTAAAATGTAACTGTATATAGAGAAAAGTGCTCATATTTTAAGTGTACAGCTTGATGAATTTTTGTGTATGTATAGACCCTGTAACCACCAAACCAGATTCTTTCTCACCTCCTGCAGGCTTCCTCACACCCTTTGCTGGTCAGTACCCCCAAGGTGCTCACTCTGACCATGATCATCTGCTATCAGCTTGCCTGTTTTTGAATTTCCTGTAATTAGAATCATAAATTATGGCTGCCTTTGTGTTTGTCGTCTTTCATTCATCCTCATGTCTCTAAGCTTCGGCCATGTGTATGAAGCAGAAGTTTGTTCTTTTTCTTTTTTTCTTTCTTTTTTTCTTTTTGAGACGGAGTCTCAACTCTGTTGCCCAGGCTGGAGTGCAGTGTCACAATCTTGGCTCACTGCAACCTCCACCTCTTGAGTTCAAGCGATTCTCCTGCCTCAGCCTCCTGAGTAGCTGGGATTACAGGTGCCTGCCACTACGCCCAGCTAATTTTTTGTATTTTTAGTAGAAACAGGGTTTCACTGTGTTGGCCAGGTTGATCTTGAACTCCTGACCTTGTGATTTACTGGCCTCAGCCTCCTAAAGTGCTAGGATTACAGGCCACCTTGCCCAGCCAGGTTTGTTCTTTTTCATTGCCGTGATACATTTCATTGTATGGACATACTACATTTTGTTTATCCGTTCACCTGTTGATGGCCCCTTGGGCTGTTTCCAGTTTGGGGCCATTATGAAAAGGCTGTGGAAGTGTTTCTGCCCATTTCCTTTGATGGGCAGGACACGTGTTTCTCTTGGGCAGATGCCCAGGAGTGGACATGCCGCATCTTAGGGAGAGGGCATCTTTTCAGCTTTTCTGAACAGTGCTTGTATCAATTTACACTCCTACCAGCAATGCATAACCTGTCTTTTTAATTAGGACTTTAAAACTCAAGCCACATTTCACATTGAATAATCCTCAATTGCAAAATTTCTAGACTTTTTTTTTAGTTACTGAGTTCTTCCTATTTCCTATCCCTCACTTTAGCTCCCTTTTTTTTTTTTTTTAACCCAGATAAGATCTTGCTCTGTCACCCAGCCTGGAGTGCAGTGGTGCAATCACAAGTCACTGGAGCCTTGACCTCCTGGGTTCAAGTGATTCTCCTGCCTCAGCCTCCCCAATAGCTGGGACTACAGGTGTGTGCCACTGTGCCCAGCTAATTTTTGTATTTTTGGTAGAGATGGGGTCTCCATGTTGCCCAGGCTGGTCTTGAACTCCCAGGCTCAAGAGATCTGGCCGTCTCAGTCTCCCAAAGTGCTGGGATTGCAGGCGTGAACCACTGTGCTTAGCCTAGCTGCTTTCTTTAAGTATCTTGGTGCAGAGCACACTAGAGTTGGACAGCTCCTTTAGTAAGGGTGGTAGTGTGGTTTAAGTAGGGATTTTGGAGTGAGTTATGGGGAAAGTTTAGATCAGGGACAGGGTCTTAGGACGGTTGAGAGTCAAAGTCAGATGAAGGACTTGAGCTATCTGGGTACAACTTGGGATTCAAGGTGAGTAAGGATGATTCAAGGACTAAGGATGGGTTGGGCTGAAGCCCAGATTTGTCCTGGGGTCTAGGACCAGGAAGGGTTGGATCTGGTTTCAGGATGAGCTTGGGTGGGGGTACTGTTGGAGATAAGATAGCTGGAAGTCAGGACTCAGGGCCATTAGATTAGAGTGGTTCAGATTAGAAGCAGGAGCACTGGAGGCATGAAGACCAGAGATCCAATCAGGGCACTTCTGCTCTCTTGCTGTGCTTTTGGGGAGGTGACATCCTTTCTTGGAGCCTCAGTTTCCTCCTCTGTAAATCAGGGTAATATTAGCATTAACCGCTAATGTGAGCTGTGAGTCATATCTAGTTCTGTTCTTGGCACTGGTGAGCACTCGCCTTTCTGTGAAAAGTATCGGAGCGCTTTGAGGACAGGCATTTGTCTCTGTGGGTTTATGTCCCCTGGTGCCCAGCTTGCTGCCTGCTACCCTCCCTTGGCCACCTCCTTTCATTTCCTGGGACTAGGGAGCTATAGAATGGGGTTATATTACAGGAGTGGACTTGAGGCTGCAGCTGGGGTTCAAGCCTGAAGTCCCAGGTCAGGTTTAGATTGGAGGACAAGCTCAGGGGTAGAGCTGGATGGAGCTGAGGTTACAGAAGATCAGGGTGGGGCTGCTAGGTCTGTGTGCTAAACGTAAGAAGGAAGACCTGGTGGGAGTGAGATGTGGACAGGGAAAGTGGTGGGCTGGGGAGAGGGCCAGAGGGCGGCTAAATCACACTCAGAGATCTGATAACTGCCTCTTTTGGGAACGCTGCAGCGCCATCACATCTCCGAGGCCCCTCTCAGAGTGGAAAACATGTCTCACCCGAAACCTGGTGGGGCAGGATGGGAGCTTGGGTAGCTCGCCTGAGGAGGAGGCCTAAGGCTGCTCTCGCTCCTTTTGGACGTCACCAGCCTCCTCTTGGGCAGCTGATACCTTCTTATGACCACCTTCCACCTCCTGCCTTACCCTGTGCTGCACTGTGGTTGATACCCCTGTGCCACTTTCTGGAGGAGTAAAAGGATAAGGCAAGATTCCCCAATGCCTGAGGGCCGTATCTTGTCCTGCCAGAGGAGGTCAGAGGCCTGGAATGGAGGACATGTCTCTCGGGAAGAGACACTTCCAAGGTGGTTGGGGGTAAGGGAGGAATCTGGGGGAAAGACGTGGAGGGTGTGGTGGAACAGGGTCCCGAGAGCCCTACTGGCTTCCCCTCCTTCACTCCACTTCCATTCCTCCTCTGTCCCCAGAAATAAGAATGTCTAAGCCCCTGGAGGCCGAGAAGCAAGGTCTGGACTCCCCATCCGAGCACACAGGTGGGTAGGCAGGGAGCAGGGGGGCAAGAGTCACCGTGGGCAGGGGAAGTGGGTCAGATGGGAAGAGGGCTGGGAGGGGAGAGGTGTGGTAGGGTTGCCTGTTGACAACACATCCTTTCCCTCTCTTTTGCAGACACTGAAAGAAATGGACCAGACACTAATCATCAGGTCAGGAGGGAGTGGATAAGTGGGAGGCGGTGGGAAGAAATGGGGAGAGGTGTGCAGAGGGGGCTCTGTGCCGCCTGGACCAGGAGGGCAGGGAGGGGTATGGTCAGAAGCTGCTCCACTGCACTATTCCATCCCTCTGCCCCTACTTTCTCTTTGCAGAACCCCCAGAATAAGACCTCCCCATTCTCCGTGTCCCCAACTGGCCCCAGCACAAAGGTAAGCAACTGTCAGAACAGCCAGGGAAGCAGGCAGCACTGGGGAGAGGGACCTCAGAAGGCCTGCCTCAGTCCAAGGCTTGAGAGAGCACTGAGCCTTGGTACCTTGGTAATGAGGTTCCTCCCGCCCCTTCTCACTCTTGGGCTCCCACCCCAGGTCTGTGACTCACCCAGGCTCCTTCCCCTTCCCTAGGGGGTGGGGGTGGCCAGGGAAATCCCCCCCAGAGCCCCAGGGTGATGAACAACAGGAAGCCAAAGGCCCGCCCCCATCCCAACTTCCCTGACCCAACAGGGGCCTGCACCACCTCCTGTCCCCCAATACACACATTTATCTGCCGGCTAAGGTGGGAGTGAGGGATTGGCACCAGTTGAGGATAGCTTTAGGGATGCAGGAGGAGAGGACGTCAGGGAGGCCGGAAGCAGCCAGGCAGTGCAAATTCCACATCCAGATGGGGCCCTGTGCCTGGCATTCTGGGCTTCTTTGGGTTGCTTGGGCCCAAGTCTTCACCCTTCAGCCTGGTCAGGGGTACCAGGCAGGTCCAGAGGCTTGAATGTAGCACTGGAGGTGGAGGCAGAGAAGGGGTGAGCAGGACTCCAGACCCTAACCAGCGGTGGCTGAGGGATGGGGTAGGAAGCTGGGAATTGCTCCCCACCCTGCTACAGCTTTGCTCTGTGACCATGGGAAAGTCACTTCCCCTCTCTGGGCTTCTCAGTTTCCTCTTCTCTATCATTGGTTGGGGGAGGGGAGAGTCAGATGGGATGGCCTCTGTGGTTGCTTCCATGTCTTGTGTACCCCCATGCCACTGTGGGAGGAGAGGACAAAAATGCTTTGCGAGCAGATGTCCTGCTTCTGTGCTGAGTGCTTTAAACGGGGTCCAGGGGAGACAGGCTCTTGATCTTGACCTCTGTGACTCTCTGATGGCAGATTTGGCTCTTGCCTTAGCCATCGGAGCAGAGCGTGTATCCATTGCCCCCACTTTGTCCTCATTTGAATCAGATCTTTGCAGTCTGTTCTCAAACTGGCAGCAGGCTTCCTTCTTTTGGTGATGCCAGTGGGACCAAAGGAATTAAGGTTTCTCTCTCCCCTTCCTGGCCTCCACAACTCACCCTGTTTCTCTGGCCTTTGCCTCTCAACTTCTCTCCATCTCTTCTGTCAGTCTTTCCCTAACTGAAGTGATTCATGTGCTCCTGTCACAGTCTCAGGCATGAGACCACAGTGTGCAACTATTTACATAATAATTTTATTAATTGGCTCAATTTTTTAAAAACACCTTATTATGGAAAATGTGAAGTGGAGACAGAAATAGAGAAGGGTATAATGAAAATGAACCCCCTAAGATACCTATCAGTCAGGTTCAACAGTTACCAACTCATGAAATGGCTTGCTTTTTGACAGCTTAAATAAATGTTTTTTAAATGGAAATTTCACAAATGGAAAACCAGAATCACTTGCCACGGAAATAAATATGATGATTATTAAAATTTACCCAGAGTCTCTTGTGTGCGGAAGGGTCTAAACTTCAGAGGCCTGCTCTCTTCTTATTAAAAGAGGAGATTAGGGCTGGAGGCGGTGGCTCACGCCTGTAATCCCAACACACTTTGGGAGGCTGAGGCAGGTGGATCACCTTAGGTCAGGAGCCTGCCTGGTCAACAGCCTGGCCAACATGGTGAAACCTTGTTTCTTCTAAAAATACAAAAATTAGCCGGGCATGATACCTGTAATCCCATCTACTCAGGAGGCTGAGGCAGGAGAATTGCATGTACTCAGGAGGCAGAGGTTGCAGTGTGTTGAAATTGTGCCACTGTACTGTAGCCTGGGCAACAGAGTGAGACTCCATCTCAAAAATAAAAATAAAAAATAAAAAAATAAGAGATTAGGCCAGGTGCAGTGTCTCAAGCCTGTAGTCCTAGGACTTTGGGAGGCCAAGGTGGGTGGATCGATTGAGCCCAGGAGTTCAAGACCAGCCTGGGCAATGTAGTGAGAACCTGTCTCTACAAAAAATGCAAAAATTAGCTGGGTGTGCATGCCTATAGTCCCAGGTACTTGGGGGACTGAGGCAGGAGGATCGCTTGAGTCTGGGAAGTCAAGGCTGTAGTGAGCCCTGATGGCAGCACTGCATTCCAGCTTGGGTGACAGAGTGAGACCCTGTCTCAAAAAAATAAAGTTAAATTAAAATAAAAGTGGAGATTAGCTAGTATTGGAGAGATGCTAAAGATATCCAAGCACCAATCAGAGACTGTAAGACAACCAGAAACAATGAAAAACCGCTGAAAAGGTAATAGTGTGCTCACCATGGCATTCAACATTATTTTTTAAAAACTTTTTTTTTCTGAGACAGAGTCTCACTCTGTCACCCAGGCTGGAGTATAATGGCACGATCTTGGCTCACTGTACCCTTCACCTCCTGGGTTCAAGCAATTCTCTTGCCTCAGCCTCCTGAGTAGCTGGGACTACAGGTGTGCACCACCATGCCCAGCTAATTTATATTTTTAGTAGAGATGAGGTTTCACCATGTTGGTCAGTCTGGTCTCAGACTCCTAACCTTAAGTGATCCACTTGCCTCGGCCTCCCAAAGTACTGGGATTACAGGCATGAGCTACTGCGTCCTTGGCTGCACTCTAGCCTGGGTGACAGAGTGAGACTCTGTCTCAAAATATATATATATATGATACACATTAAAAACAGACAAAGGTCTTCAATATATGACTCTGTGAACTTTCAGAAACTGAGCACACTCATGTCACCAGCATCAGATCAAGAAGCAGAGCACGACCAGCCTTCCAGAGGCCCTTAATGCCCCTGCCAGGGACAACCACTACCCTGACTTCTCATACTCAGTGTCATTTCATGCTGCATCTCTGCAGCAGTTTTGTTTTTTTTTTTAACTTCTCTCTTTCTCTCTCTCTCTCTCTCTCTCTCTCTCTCTCTCTCTTTTTTTTTTTTTTTTTTTTTTTGGTAGAGACAGCATCTCACTCTGTTGCCCAGTCTGGTCTCAAATTCCTAGCCTCAAGCAATCCTCCTGCCTCAGCCTCCCAAAGTTCTGGGATTATAAGCATGAGCCACCACACCTGGCCTCTGTAGCTCTTAAACTTTCTAATACTTATGTTCCATAATTTGGGACATGCCACTCACTGTCTACTATTTGGCCTTTCCTTGACCTCTGTTTGTCTCTGTCCACGTTCCAAATATCACCCCCACTGCCAATTCGCTGTATCATTTTGCATAAGTTTCTTTGCCTCTCTGGACTTCCTTTTACAAAATGGTATTTGGATATCAGGCTGAAGAATGATCCCATTGTCCACTCTAGGCCTGAGGGTGTGTGATCCATCAGGCCATGCCTTCTCCCACCACTGTATATGCTTCATCCAGCAGGTCTTTCAGCAACAACTGCTGCTGTCTGACTTTTCACCTAGGAGCAGAGGAGGCCAAGGTGGCTCTATGGCGCTCTGCTTTGTGTGTATGGTACAAGATATGTCCATATCATCTTTAGAGAGACACAGAGAGGCTTGGCAGAGCTCAGAGGCGGAGGCTGAAGCCTGGCAGTTCCTGGGCCACATCTGGCTTGTCCACAGTGCAGGACAAGTATTGTGCCTTGTTTATTCTGCCAGTATTTTTGTTCTAGATTTTGAAAAGAGTGGCCAGCAGGAGCTAAGTAAGAGCTGGATGGGACTTCTACTCAGGCAGCGCTCTCTCCAGTCTACCTCCATCCAGCCCTGCCCCTATCACACATTTGTGCCCATTTCTGTAAGCATCTGAGTTTGTAGCCCAGGTTCCAAGGTGGTAGTTTTTCTTAGTACCTGAAAACATTTCCTTCCAACCAAGTATTACTTCACTGGACAAATAAAAGATGCACCTGGCTAGGTGCAGTGGCTTATGCCTGTAATCCTACCATTTTGGGAGGCCAAGGCAGGAGGATTGCTTGAGTCCAGGAGTTCAAGGCCAGCCTGGGCAACATAGTGATACCTTGACTCTACAGAAAATTTAAAAAATTAGCCAGGTGTGGTGGTGGGCACCTGTAGTCCCTGATACTCGGAGGCTGAAGTGGGAGGGTTGCTTGATCCTGGGAGGTAGAAGCTTCATTGAGCTGTGATCATGCTACTGTGCTCCAGCTTGGGCAACAGAGAGAGAGAGAGAGAGAGAGAGAGAGAGAGAGAGAGAGAGAGAGATAGAGAGAAAGAGAGAGATACCTCTGTGTGATACAGATGAAGAGTGTGGGATCCAGAACCCCTTTATTTGATCTCCCAGATGCCCAGTGGAACTATTTTCCTTTTTTTAAAAAGAGACAGGGTTTCACCATTTTGGCCAGGCTGGTTTTGAACTCCTGACCTCAAGTGATCCACCCACCTCGGCCTCCCAAAGTGCTAAGCTTACAGGTATGAGCCACCATGCCTGGCCACTATTTTATGTTTTACAGACAGGGAAACTGACTCTCAGGAGGAGGAAAGCACTCTGCAAAGGAGACTCCTCCTGTAGGGAGTTTGGGTGCAGGTGTTGTGTTAGCACTATCTGATTGATGAAGAAACTGAGGTCAGAGGAGTGGTTTGAATCTCCCAGTGGTCAGTGCAGGACCACGAGCTGCAGCCTCATGTTCATACCCCAGTCTGTTCCTCCTGTGCCAGTCTGGTTGCCATTGCCACACTTGTGCCCTCTTTTTGGTTCACAGGTGGGCATTCTCTCTGGCCTCCACTTAACATTCTGGGGTCCCGGACCCTGCCTCTCTCCCCCTCAGATCAAGGCTGAAGACCCCAGTGGTGATTCAGCCCCAGCAGCACCTCTGCCCCACCAGCCAGCCCAGCCTCATCTGCCCCAGGCCCAACTCATGTTGACGGGCAGCCAGCTAGCTGGGGTAAGTACTCAGGGAAGGATGGGGACGAGGGCACAAACCAGCCACCCCTCATCTGTTGCAGGGCTGGTGGATGAACTGTTCCACCAAGGCCATGGCCACTCTCACACGCCTGCCTCTGTCCTCCAGGAGATCTTGTCCCCTCACTTGCTTGGCTTAGGCACTAATCCCTCTCTGCCTTCTCTGCTCCTCTCTAACCCCCTGCTCCGGCTCCCGCTGACCCCGCTGCCCCACAGCTCACGGCGCTGATGCCAGCCCAGCAGCAACTCCTCCTGCAGCAAGCCCAGGCCCAGCTCCTGGCCGCCGCCGTGCAGCAGTCCAGTGCCGCAGCTGCCGCTAACGCCGCTGCTGCCGCCGCCTCCGCCTCTTCCTCCACTTCCTCCTCCTCCTCTTCTGCCTCCTCCTCGACCTCACAGCCCCCAGCCTCCTCTGGCGGGGGTGACCTGCCACCACCACAGCCTGCCAGCCAGCCCTCTGGGACCCCACAGCTCACCTTGTCCCAACCCATCCAGCTCACAGCACAGGTAAGGGCAGCCACTGGGGACCAGGCTCCCTGCAGTGAAGGACATGCAGAAGCAGTGAGTGTGCAGGAAGGTGCTGACTGGTTCACATAGATGGTTCTGATCACTAGCCACATGCCAGTTCCTAGCAACCCTGGGAAGCCTTGGGAGATGTTGCTGTCTCATCTTACAGAGGGGTAGAGTGAGGCTCACAGGGAGGAATATCCCACATAATAATCCTCCCTCTGGTGGGTAGTGCTTGCTATGCATCTTGCTAGGAGTTCACAGCTTCCTGGGAGATTGAGATTGTTGTCCTCAACTTACAGGTAAGGAAACCAGGAGTCACCTCTGTGATTGGTACAAAACAAAAGGTTGAGAATAAGAATGAGTGCCCTACCTTCATTGTGTCCCCTGGCTCATCCAACAAGATGCTCTTTCAAAAAGGGGCCCATGATCTATGAGTTAAGAGGTTCTGCATCCTCTCCCTCTGGAGCTTGCTGGTCCATAGTTCATCATGAATTAGTGGCTGTCTCAGATTCCTAGGGCTACCATAACAAAATGCCACAAACTGGGTGGCTTAAGACAACAGAAACATATTGTCTCTGACCACAGGTCCAAACTCAAGGTGTCGGCAGGGCCGTGCTCTCTTTGAAGGCTCCCAGGGAGAATCCCTCTTTGCCTCCCTGGATTCCAATGGTGCTGTCAATTCTTGGTGTTCAATGCCTTAGTAGACGGCTTACTCCGATCTCTGCCTCCTCCATTGTCACATGGTCATCTTCTCTCTGTGTGCATCTGTCTCTGTATTCAAATTTTTCTTTCTTCTAGGGACACTGATCATTAGATTAGGGCCCACCCCGATGACCTAATTTTAACTTGATTATAGCTGCAACCCTATTTCCAAATAAGGTCATATTTAGAGGTACCAGGAGTGAGGACTTCCACATATCTTTTTGGGGACACAATTTAACCTGTAACAGTGGCCAATAGAGTTCCCTTAAGGACATTGAGGGGAGCTGAGTGGGAGCTGAGTAGGCTTCCTCTTCCAAAGGGCAGCTGTCTCCCAGCCCACTTCCATCCACCCCTTCCCATGTCACCCATTCATGTTGTCTGTATGGTTTCTATAAGCATTAGAGTTGTGGCAAAGTTTCAGGGCAGTGAAGGACCTAGGAAGCCCTACAGTAAAGCTACCTGTTTAACTTGGCTTAGCCTAGCGTTTCTTTTAGTGACTGCTCTATAAAAAGCTGTTCTCTCACTCCATCCACCCGCTTCCACAGAACCCTAGATAGCAGGTGCTGTCCACGCAGGGAGCTGTCCAGCCCTGGTGAGGCTGTTGCCTTGATACAGTTCACTCCCTGAGATGGGCCCATTTCATTATTGACCAATGCTCCCATTTGGGACTTTTTTTTAACACTGAACTGATACCTGCCTCCTTAGAGCTTCCTTACACTGGGCCTGGTTCTGTGAAGACACTCTGTAAACTGGACCTACTGCTCCGTGATGGCTCTTGCAGATGTAGCCTTTTTTTTCTTTTGAAACGAGGTCTTGCTTTGTTGCCCAGTCTGAAGTGCAGTGGCATGACTATGGCAGTCTCAACGTTTTTGGGCTCAAATGATCCTTCCACCTCAGCCTTCCAAGTAGCTTGGACTACAAGTGCATGTTACCATATCCAGCTAATTTTTTATATATACATATTTTTTGTAGAGATGGGGCTTTGCCATATTGCCCAGGCTAATCTTGAACTCCTGAGCTCAAGCAATCTGCCTGCTTTGGCCTCTCAAAGTGCTGAGATTATAGGCATGAGCCACAGTACTTGGCCCAGACGTAGCCTTTCAGTACCTGGCTCTCCACAGTAACAGTAACTTAGTCTGTTGGGTGCTGCCTTTGTTCCAGGCACCTGCCAGTGATGGCCTCTTTGCACCCATGAATCCTCCCCACAGCTGAGGCTCTGAGGGGCAAGTGACCTGCCCCAGATCATGCTGTGAGCAGGAGTGGCAGAGCGGCCTGCTGTGGCCAGGGCTCTAACTACATAATCTGTGGCTGCTGCTTTTAGCTGTTCTTCACGGAACATGGTTTCTAGCCCCTCCCACCCTAGTCACCAGAGACTCCAGCAGCAGGTGTTCCATTTGCCTCGTAGCATAGACAGCCCTTTACTGAGCAACGCCAAGGGCTTGGGGCTCCTCACTGGGGCTGGGCTCTTTCGCATCTCAGTAGCCCTGCTCTTGTTCTCTTTTCCCTGGAAGTCTGTTCTGTTCCTTTACCTGGACAGTTCCTCTTCATCTAAGCCCCAGCCCAGGGGTCCACACCTCTAGGAAGTCATGATGACTTCCCTCCCGCCAGCTGTGCCTGAATATACCTGAGGAAATATCAGTTGAAGGAACAAAGACTAGAGGATAGAAGGCGGAACAGGGCAGCCTAGCACAGACCCAGCCAGGCCACCACCTCTGTGAGCCACAGACATTCCTGTCTATGAACTCCTAGAGCCACCTCCCCAGCTCCCCAGGGACCCAGCAGCAGCAGGCTGAGCCTCCACCACCTGCCGTCCAGCCCAGGCCCTGATTGTTAAGGTCTCCTTAAAACCCTCTCTACCAAGTCCTTTCCTTTCACTCCTCCCTCCCCAGCTTTCCTCAGCTCTGATCTTTCCTTCGTTGTCCTCAACAAGTACAAAGCTGGGCCAAGTTTCTTTTCTGGGAATTCTTTCTCACAAACTGAGTTGCCCTTTGACATGATTTCTACAACAACACCTCCTATGGGAACCATGCTGGACCCAGGCTGCAGAGGGACCAGCTCTTCCTGACTTTCCTGCCCACTGCTCTAGCCCACGCCAGCTCCTCAGCTTGGATGGCTCTCCCCAGCCCACATCTCATGCCCTTTACTCCCCAGTCCACTGCTTGTGCCTGGTCAGCTCTGTTCCTGCAGTCATTTCACAAACGTTTCCTGGCCTCCTATGTGTTGGGCCATGGCAGGAAGCTGAAGACTTAGGAATGAGTCACAGCCATCCTTGTCCCTGAGGGGCTCCCTTTCCTGAAGTGGAACAAGCACATCAGTGAGCTACTAAGAAATGTTTCACTTGGAAGATACTAAGAAGCCCAGAAAAGACAGTCAAAAACACTCATAAATGCTATCCCTTTAAAATTGTATAAAATACCAAGGAAAAGTCCCCCTTCCATCCCTCTGATGTCAGCTTCCAAAGAAATGCCAGTTAAACCATTTGGCAGGATCCTTCCCTGCAATCTTCTAGCTTGTACAGATGAAGGGGCAATTATAATACAGTTTTGCAATTTGTCTGTCCATTGCTCAGTGTGATCCCTTCTACTGAGGGGGTGGATGTTTACTGAATCAATGAGGGATGTTTTGCAGCAGATTTTCAATCAAGGGTAGGGAAGATACCTCTCCAGGGAAGTATTTTAGAATGTGTGGGGTAGGGGTAGGCATTGGTGGAAAACTTACATTAACAGTTAAAACAACATTTCGTATTGGAGAGTAGGGGGGAAAATCGGTATTTTCCTAATAGGACCATTGCCAAAAGCTTGACAAAATCTTTTAGGCTGCTAGGACCTAGCGAATGAAAGTTTCTCAAAGAAACCTACTGAGTGTGATGGGAATGTGGGAAAAGAAATGGATGTATGTCTGAGGGAATCAGGACCCACATCTGTCCAGGCTTTCAGAAAGACTCAGGGGCATGGGGAGGAGTTTGCTGGGAAAGGGCTTCCAGGCCGTGGGAATGGCAAGTGCAAAGTGAGAAAGCAAGGCTGGCTGTGGAGGCACAAATAGGCAAGGATGAGCTGGGAGGGAGGAGCCAAAGCTCAAGTCCAGGTAGCTGAACAAGACTCAGGAGTATTTGGCTCAGATAACTGAAAAGGCCTGGGCTGAAATACCAGGCCCAGCTCCATGGGTCTGTCTCCCTGTTTCATTCCAGGGCAGGCAAATGGGTGTCAGCATTTCCAGACTTGTAGCTACCCTACCCAGGGAGATAAAATGCATCCCCTGGGCCAAGTGGCGTGGCTCATGCCTGTAATCCCAGCACTCTGGGAGGCAGAGGTGGGCAGATCACTTGAAATCAGGAGTTTAAGATGAGTCTGACCAAAATGGGGAAACCCTGTCTCTACTAAAGATACAGAAATTAGCCGGGCATGGTGGCGGGCACATGTAATCCTAGCTACTCAGGTGGCTGAGGCAAGAGAATTGCTTGAACCCAGGAGGTGGAAGCTGCAGTGAGCCAAGATTGTGCCACTGCACTGTAGCCTGGGCAACAGAGTGAGACTCTGTCTCAAAAACAAACAAACAAACAAACAAACAAAAACATGTCCCCTGGCTAGGTTTGAGTCCTTGCCCTCAACCCCAGAGAAGGCAAGGTCAGCCGTACCTGGTCCTCATGATATGAGGGTGGGAAAGTGTAACCCCCAAAGAGATGGGTTCTGTTGCTTGAAGAAGTTGAAGGGGCAGTGGGTACCAGGCCAATAAAACTGCCCACCTGGAGGTGTGTGGTCAGTGCATACACAGGGC